ACGAAGAATAAGTAGTATTTATGACTTTTATATTATTTTCATTATGGAATGAGCTGTATTCTTTAGAGATAACAACCCTTTAGACAACTAGTTCTGCTTTATAAAGAAAAGAACTCTTATGATTATTTAAAAGAACAATTGAGAATATTTTGACTTGATTGGGATCACTAAGTATTATGTAAAAAATGCAGGTCTTGTATTTAGTCACTAATATTTTTTTTCAAGGCTGTAATCCATAATTTAGAAGCAGTTTATTTCTTGTACAAAATTTGGCCACTTTAAAAGAGGATCTTTTCTGTCCAGTTTGTTTTTAGTTCAGTTGTGTCTTAAACGCATATCCACATTGCAGATACATACTTTTATACTTGCTGGAATGTCTTTTGTCATTGTCAGTGCCATCTGACTTCACCTGACAAAAAAACACTGATTTCCTGAGTACAGAAACATTTTCATTTCTTGAAAGGATTGATACAGGGAAGACCAATTCTGATCACCCAAGTGAACCTGAATTCTAACTTTCAGGTCATGTAAAGAGATTTTATTGAACTCCTTTATTTGGTCTCTATACTTTGAGATTATTAGACCTAGTTGAGCACTTAATCATAGGTACATTAAAACAAATCATAGAATGTTAGAAATAAAACCTCCCATAGAGATCATGAAGCATATTTATATGCTAGGGGTGGAGAAATTACATGCTCTGAAGTCAGACGCCAGGTCACATTCCCATTTCTTGTATTTGTTACTTTAGTTACCTTGGCCTATTCTTCGGCCTCATTGTCTTCACTTAGCAAATGGAATTAGTAGGATACTGCTTTCTGGACTTATTTGAAATGTTTAGATGAAATCATCTGGAAAAAACATATATAGCATAGCGTTTGGCAAGTAGTGAACCTTTAGTAAATGTTAACTGATGTTGATTAATAACAATAATAATGTCAATAATAATATAGCAGGGTACAATGACTTAAGCTTACTGTAGGTTGTAATCTTGTATTAGTTCTTCTGGGGTAGCTATTTTGTTGTTTGTACTCCTTTAGATTATTTTGTGGTTCCTACCATTTGCATAGTGTTAGTTAATACCAAAAATAAGTGATTCTTTCTGGTGTTGAGGAACAAATCTAATTATGGTTACTTTAGGCAAATTAAACTAATGTGCTTGATAAAAAAAAACAAAACAGGACCCTCCCTGGTGGTGCAGTGGGTTAAAGCATCGCACTAAGAAGCTAAAACCACATCAGCATGAGTTTGATCCCCCTCCTGGGAGGGACCCACATGGCGAGGCAAACTCTCCTGACCCGCCCGCTGCTCCCCTCAGCAGTGTATTTCATCGATCTGCCTGTTCTGCTCCCCACTCTGTCTCTGGTGAATCCTTTCATAGTCCCTGCACCTCTGGCCTGTACCCAAGTTCTGTATGCATAAATAAATAAATCTAAAAAAAAAAAAAACCAAACAAACAAACCAAAAATAAGAACAAAACAAACAAAGGAGAAAGAAAATTATTTTGATGTTGTGAGTGATTTTGCCTACTTCATTAAATGAACTCCCTTGGGTTAAAGGTACATAAATTTTGTATAAGGTAGCCTCTGATAAGCTTAAGGCCATCATTTCATCTGTGCTTACCTGAAGAACAGCAGTTCAGTGAAATGTTGAAGGAAGTACATTGGGCTCGTTGTATTGACAGGAGATTGGTTGGTACTTTCCTGAAGGATTTTATTGTTTTTGAATTGTGAAATAATATGCATACACATAAAAAGTGAACAAGAATGTACCCCATAGGGCCCGCCCTGGTGGCCGAACGGATTAAAGTGCAGCATTATGAAGCTAGCCGCAGTCTCTTCAGTGCAGGTTCGATGCCTGGCCAGAGAGGTGACTCACACGGCGCGGCAGACCGCCCCGCTCTCCCCACTTCTCCCTTCAGCAGTGTATTTCGTGGATCAACAATGCAAAAACCTATGTTCACATGTAGACACATAGGCGAACATTTACATGAGCACAATTTTTTCTCTGCCTGCAAGGAAGGGAGACAGAGAGGGACCAGAATGAGGGAGGAATGTGAGGGACTGTGGTGATAATGGGTGGGCGAAATAGGGGAGGGGGAAGTAAACATTGTTTTAAAATGAACAATAATATAAATAGATATGTAAATAAAATTATAAAAATATTTTTTTAAAAAAAAGTGAAACTGATTCCTTGTAGAAAAAATTAACTATAATTCCAGAACAGGAAAATATAAGGTGAATTGGAAACTTCTTGTGCTATTAAGCAATGAAATGTTCCAAGACTGATGGGAAGATATCAAAAGAGCTTTGGTACCAGTTTGAACAGGTTCCCACTAGGTACTTTAGGAGAATCTGAGCAGTCAAAGCATAAATGATGGCAATAGATTATAGCATATATGAAAAAAAGGATTCTTTAATACAAATACCAGTGAAATTAACAGCAGAGAAATGATCAGGGTTCACCAGAGACAGAGTGGGGAGCAAAACAGGCAGATTGATGGCCCTGCCTGGTGGCGCAGCGGGTTAAAGCACAGCACTGAGAAGCTAAAGCCGCTTCCGCATGAGTTCGATTCCCGCCTGCCCCGGAGGTGACCACATGGTGTGGCAGACCTCTTCTGACCCGCCCGCCGCTCCCCTCAGCAGTGTACTTCGTTCTGCTCTGGCCTGTACCCCAGTTCTGTATGAATAAATAAATAAATCTTTTTTTTTAATTACAAAAGTTTATTTTTACATCATTTTGTACATTTTTTTTTCCATCTCAAAAATAAATATTTTTTTTTAAAAAAGACAAAGTACACTGCTGAGGGGAGCAGCGGGTGGATCAGAAGAGGTCTGCTATGCCATGTGGATCAGCTCCCTTGCTGGGGATTGAACTTGTGCTGCAGTGGCTTCAGAGAGCTTCATAATGTGGTGCTTTAATCTGTTGCACCACCAAGGAGAGCCCCTCTGTTATATATTTTTAAGTCACTCGGAAATTTAAAAAAGCACCTTCACAACTTCCCATTGTAAAGATACATTTTGAGTATTTCTGTAATCTTTGGAGTTAAGACGTATTACTTCTTTTGCAATTAGAAATCTGTAGAGTGTTACTTTGGTGTCTTGGAAATGACCAGCTCCTGATCTTTCTGCCTAGTGGTTTTATTATCTCTTGAATATCTTGACAGTAGAAAATGGTAATTTTTAAAAATGTAATCATTATTTCTCATAAATAGCTGCCATTCTGAAAAGAATATTCCTTTTTTCTTTTGTTTTAGTTGAAATAAGAAAAGGCTTATGGATTGGTCACTTCATACAGTAAATGTTTGATTAATTTGGTGCAAATGAAACTATTTTACCCCCCAGTGAAACTTTAAACCATGTAATCTTCAAATTCAAGCAGCCTTTATATGTGCAATAGTTGATCACTCTTACAGAGGGCCTTACTGTAAATCTTTTTTGTAACATGAGTGGTCACTTAATTTATGCTATTATCACCTTGAATTTCATATATGGAATATTATTCAACAAATTATTGAATGGCTCTTATGTTTCAGACACTGTTAGATCCTGCAATAGAGCAGTAAGCAAAGAAACATGCACATAGCCCCTGTAGCTTAGAAGGCACTGAGCTTTGTCTAGAACCCTGGGGGTGAGGGCAGTCATGAAGCTACGTCTGAAGAATCTTGATCTGGAAGGCTTTGCTACCAGTTGTGCTTTAGTAAGTTCTTTCAAGTTCAAAACCCTAAACAATCATTTTCCGTGGGTCTGGTGAGAGGAATATGTGGCGAAGTTGGTAGTTCCTTCCTGTTGTTTTTCTGATTAACAAATGTGGTTACAGATTCCTTCCTTTACTGTGCATTTTTTTTCCTAACTTTTTCCTCCTCTAAGGATGACGTGTTCCCTGCACACCCTATTCTCCCCCCCAGTTTTGTGGGGTCCACATTTACATTGGGTTTGTCCTACAGTCACAGGAGGCTTGTAAGACTGTAAAGATTCAGAGTGCAGGAATGCAACCACCAGCCAGCCCTCCTTATTCACTAGCTTCCTGGTGAGCTGAGTAGGAAAGAGCAGCACCGCCTCCCCGGTCTGCTCAATGAAGTCTGTGGAGGTGCGGGGATCTTTTTTTAATAATATAATAGTTAATTTTTACATCATTTTGTGCCTTTTTCCAGTTGTAATCCCCATGGGCTTCCCATCACCAAATCACCTGTGTGTCATCACCATAGTCCAATGCACTCTTTTTTGACCCCCCCCCAACTTTTGATCCCACTCCCCACTCCACCCCCGGTAAATGGTCTCTGGTATATAGTTGTTCATTATTATTATTATTTTCCTCCCTGGTCCTTTATACTCCTGCTATGAATGAAACCATCTGGTATTTTTCTTTTTCTTTCTGGCTTATTTCACTAAGCATGATCCTTTCCAGCTCCATCCATGTTGCTGCAAAAGGTGCAGGATTTTTAGGGGTTCTAGAAAGCTTTGGAGGCCTGAGATGCCAACTTTCAAACACCTTCTCATCTGACATGGATGCAAGTATGAGGTCTACACTGAAAGACTTTTCTGTCCCTGCTTTCATGGTAGTTCTGGGATGCTTCTCTTCTTGATGAATTGAGCAGCTGTCCTGGGAGCTATGGCTCCTGCTGTTTCTCAGTACAGAAAGCTGTGCCCTTTGAGTTCCCTGAAGGATTTGGTTAGTTGACAGCTACATCAGGGTTTAATAGAGTTATCTCTCAAAGCAAAGGGATTTCCTCCCCAGTGACAAAGTTGCCGTTTTTGATGTCTACTAAATCTTTAGCCATTTCTCTCTTCAGATTAGCAAGACAGACATGCCTGTAGTTAGGTGTGTATGTGTCCTTAAAGAAATAAGGTGTCTGTCAGCTAACGCTGCTTATGACCTCGGGTTCCAGAATATCAAGGCAGCATTCTTTAGGTGTTTCATTGGGGTTGAATCTCAAAGTTTAGAATCAGTTTATTGTCAAAAAGGGAGGTCAGTCCAAGTGACAAGAAAATACCTCTGCTATGAATTGGTTTGGAAATTACTTCTCTGACTTTCCTGGGGATGTTTCTTCACTCAATGCGCACTCCCCTCTGCTGCGTTCACTTATGCCATCTGAAGATGAACCTTCTACTTCCAACTTGAGGTAGGGAGTAGGACAATTTTCCCCTAAACCCACGTTCGTCTTTGGTTGGAATCGCAAATCAGTCTCTGTATAAGGAGCCGGTAAAAGAAAGTGGGTTTGGGAAGAAAGTAGCTACTAGCATTTTCTTGTTGACTTGAAAAAGGGGCCACTGATGAATTGCTTGGGGCCTTGTTTGGCTAGCGAAAAGAGAAAGGCTGCCATGGATGAAAGGGTGTCTGTTCTTACAATGTTGAATCCTGACCAAGTGAAGCATTATTTCTAGTGGCTGCCAGTAATTTTCACCCTTTTGAAATCAAAACTCAAGGGTGTTGGCTTCAGTTAAGAGCTAGAAATAATCAAGGAGGCCTGAGTGGAAGTCAGAATGTAGTGCAAGTTTCATTAAGGAAGTGAAACAGTGTGAGACCCCCAGGCTGAAATGCCAGGCACGTGGGAACATGCAGTGGGGGTCCTTCACTCCGAGAAGGATGGGGTGAGGTTAAAACAGGAGTGGGTGAACATGTATCCCTTTTAATTAAACTGCTCCTGGCTTGAGCAGGTAACTAGAATGATTGGAGTCATCCTCAATGGCTCTAGTTGAAGCCTGCCTCTGCTCTGCCTTTTGGGGTGAACACCCCTCTAGGTCTGCCCATTCAGATTTTAAAAAAAAATTATGCATATAGAACTGGGGTACAGGCCAGAGGTGTAGGGGCTGACGAAGTACACCGCTGAGGGGAGCAGCGGGCAGGTCAGGAGTGGTCTGCCGCTCCATGTGGTCACCTCCGGGGTAGGGATCAAACTCGTGCTAAAGTGGCTTTAGCGTCTTAGTGCTGTGCTGTAAGTTCTCTGTCCCGGAAAACTTTAGTCCTGGGTGAACTGGAGTGACTGGTAATCCTGACTGAATTTTAAGGTGCTTCGGTGGCACGTATGACACCAGAAACTGATCCAGAGCTCCTGTAAGGGGAGCCCTGAGGAGCAACCTTTGAGCCAGTGGGTGGTGCCCCTTGCCCGCTTGCTGCTAGTAGCTGGAGCTTTCCACATTCCACCCCGTGAGTCTGATGGAAAAATAGGATGGAGGTGGGTCCCTGGCGGTCACACCACTGGTGAGGAGGCGTGTCTGTGCAGAAACTGCTGGCTCACCATGTGTGGCTAGAGCTTGAAGCTTGGCCTCTGCTCAGAGGTCACTATCTGGGGTAGGACAGATGATATCTAGCCTGTTACAAGTTTATAAATTCCTTCTCCCTTTTCTTGTTCCCTGTGTACATAAATCCTGTTTTTTTTTCTCCCCATCTGTCTGCTTTTGAGTCTGGCCTGCAGTTCTAAGTGCAAGGGTTCAGACCCACCAACTCTGTCTTCCCCTGGGTTTGCTCTGTTTTACTTTCTCTGTTACTTGTTTCTCAGGAAAGTGGACAAAATGCTCTAGGTTATGTGAAAGGTTCTGTAGTTACAGTAATAGCTGTAGTTCCAGCGAGTGCACGCCCGCTCTTGTGCCGAGTACATGGTGCTGTTCAGTTCTCACAGCACCTGCAGACTTAGGTTATTTAAACTGGAAGAGGGGGGCAGAGCTGAGGGCTGTGACAAGTGATGTTTCAGGATTAAACAACTAGAATGTAGCCGAGCCACAGTTGAACTTTAGTGAGACTGAATCGAAAACACTTTCCACTAAAGGGAGAATTTGCTGAATTTGATGGCAAAGGGACAGCTGCTCTGATTTAGCAAGGTTCTGTGGCCATCAGCTTCCCACTAATTCCAAATGCATTCCTATTCATAATGGTAGTTAAAGTTGTGTGTGGGTAATACACAGAGGTCTAGGCTGTATGGGGAGCTACAATATCTACTTTAGTCTGATAGCTGAAGTAGAATTATAAAGCAAGCTGCTTAGCTTTTTTTTTTTTTTTTTTTTACTTAGTTTTTAAAGGAACTACTAAGCTCCTGGCTTGTAGAAGGTGCACAGTGATAGATTACTATATTTGTCATTTTACTTAAAATGTTTTTTTTAAAGTGATTGATTTATGTACACAGGAACTGGGGTACAGGCCAGAGGTACAGGGGGTGAGAGGATTCTTCAGAGGCAGAGTGGGGAGCAGAACAGTCAGATCTACTGAAAAACACTGCTGAGGGGAGCAGTGGGTGAGACAGGAGAAGTCTGCTGCACCATGTGGGTAGCTCATGGTTGGGGACTGAACTCAGGCTGCAGTGTCTGGTAGTTTGATAGTCAGAGCTTGATAGCCCTGAGACTTACCCTTGTGCCACCAGGGAGGTCATATTTGTTATTTTAATTAGGGCCCATAGTTATGAACATGAATTGAAACATTACAACCAATGCATGTCAAAAATTGAAATATAAAAATCACCAAAGATTCAGAATTTTAGGATTTTAGGTGTATCTATATTATACCTTACTGGCTTCAAAGTATAGGTGTGCATGTAAGAAACATTTTTTCCCCCCACCAAGCAGAACTATCTTTTTTTTTTTTTTTTTCATTTGACAAAGATAGAGTAGAGGGCTAAATGAGTTGAGTTTGTGGAGGGATGCTGGAAGCTTTAGGCTGCTTTGCTTTTATTTCATCAGTTCCCACCTGAGAGTAGTTAGTGCCTTCACAAGGGAGTGAAGTGCAGATCGAAGTTACATAGTTGATAGCTGGGCTGGAAGAGGACTCAAATATAATAAAAGAGACATGAATTCCTTGATCCACCCCACTATGTTTCAAAGTGTAGTGTGCTAGATTCTGGGGACATGGGGAGCAGCAGCATATGCCCTCTACCCCCAAGGAGCTCACATGGACACAGAGGAATAAGATATGTATATATACCGTTTCTTTAGAACCAGTTTGAAGTCTTCATAAGCATCTTAATCTGCTCAGGCTTCCGTAACAAAATACCATAGACTTGGTGGCTTAAAGAGCAAATTTATTTCCTCACAGTCTTGAGAAATCTAAGGTTGGGGTGCCAGAAAGGTTGGGTTCTGGTAAGAACTCTCTTCCTGACTTGGTCCCTTCTTGCCATGAGCTTACATGGCTTTTTCTCTTCCAAGGCTAACAGTCTTTGCACCCGGATCTCGCTATATTGTGGGTTATTCACTTAATAGAACTTCATGTCTAAGGTCAATATCTAGTCCAGATTTCACTGTACCACCTCAATTCAAGTCTTTATTAAGATTGAAAACCTTTAGGGTGTAGCTGCAGGGTCTCTTCAGGACACATCCTCAGGACATAGTAAACTCATACATCCTTCAGTTGGTAAAATAGCCCTGAGAGGTAGTTTTTTTTTTTTTCATCATAGATTGAATAAACTAAAAGCAGAGAAATCCAGTGGCTTGGCTAAGGTCAAGCTTCCAGGAAGGGGCATGCTAGGATTTGAATTGAGTCTCTTGGTGCCAAATTTGAGAACTTAACTCTTAGAAGTACAATTGATTCTGAGGAAGTGGACTGGATATTTTTGAGGATAGCATTTTTCTTTTTTTCAGGTAAGGTTGCTTGGATTTTTCTTGTCTTTTTATTGAGTAAACATAAGTTTACCACTGTTGGTTTCAGGTGTAAAATTGTTTACCTCAGCAGCGATATATATTACACCTTGCCCACCACGAAATGTCCACCACCCCATCCTTCCCCAACCAATCGTCTCCCTCTGTCTTTCCCCTCCCTTCTCCCTCTGGTACCACCATTCTCATCAGAGTTGAGTGGTAGGATTTGGAATAATAATGCCATTCAGGGGCCTTGCTGTTGGTGCAGGGTTTAAGTCGCAGCACTATGAAGTTATCACCAGCCACTGCGGCACAAATTCAATCCCCGGCCAGGCAGCTGACCCACATGGCACAGCAGACCTCTCCTGTCTCACCTGAAATGCACCTCAGCAGTGCATTTCAGTAGATCTGCCTGTGCTGCTTCCCAGTCTCTGGTGAATCCTCTCAACCCCCTTCCCCTCACCTCCGGCCTGTACCCTAGCTCTTGTATGTCTAAATAAATTTAAAAAATTTAAAAATGTCATTCATGGAGACAGAGCAAAAAGTCCGAGGAGCAGATATGATACAAGAGAGGAAAGGCACTTTCATGACAAGAGCTGCTGCTGTCTGCCTCCTCCTCACTGTCTTGGCTTAGCAGTTATCTTTCTGAACCATCTTCTTTGTTTCCAAATTAATCACCATCCTTGATTCTCTAGGACCCACACATCAGCCCAGGCTGTGGTGAAGCAGCCTGTCCGGGGGCCCAGTGGCCGGACCATGATCACGACCATTGTCCAGACGGGTGGGGACTGGAGCACCGGCCTCTTCAGTGTCTGCAGAGATAAGAGGATTTGTATGTTCCTCTTGATTTATGTTCTCCCTTATTTTTTTTCATCCCCAAGACATCAGTGGGTGGAAAAGCTCTATCAACCACAAGGACAGAAATTACATGGCTTCAGGATAACTGGACTAATTTAGTGACTGAGGTATATTCCTTGACAGGAAAAAGCTTGTATTTCAGGGATATGGATGATTTTTATAGAATAAGAGGTGACTTAAAAAGATTTTAAGATGACAAAATCCACTGTTTGTAAAGATGCACGAACTGGGCTCCTCATATGCTGTGCATAAATTGGTACAATCTTTCTGGTAGATGATTTAACTATACATATAAAAATATGTCAAATATGATACAATTTTTGACCCAGCAATTACATTTTCAAGCGTTTAGTCTAAGGAAATAAATCACGAGCAAAGATTTAACAGCGACATTGAATTTCACACCTTGGATCTTAAAGCACCTCCCTGGAACAACCTGTGTGTTCAGCAGGGCACCCATAGCACGGGCTGTGCAGCCACAAAATACTGTGTCGTAGAATAACATTTAATGGGGTAAAAAGATGTCGTGGATACATTTTTTAAAAAAAGATTTATTTATGCATACAGAATTGGGTATAGGTCAGAGATGCAGGCAGTAAGAGGCTTCACCAGAGACAGAGTGGGAAGCAGAACAGGCAAATTGACTGAAATACACTGCTGAGGGGAGCAGCAGGAGGGTCAGGAGAGGTCTGCTGTGCCATGTGGGTCAGCTCCTTGGCCGAGGATTGAACTCATGCTGCAATGGCTGTGATAGCTGCATAGTACTATGTTTTAATCTGTTGCTCCACCAGGGAGGGCCCGGATACATTTTTTTTTTTAAGATTTTATGCATTTGTACATGCAAGAACTGGGGTCTAGGTCCAAGGTGCAGTGGTGAGAGGATTCGCCAGAGATGGAGTGGGGAGCAGAACAGGCAGATTGACTGAAATGCACTGCTGAGAGGAGCAGTGGGTGAGACAGGAGAGGGCTATTGTACCATGTGGGGGATCAAACTCAGGCAGCAGTGGCTGGTGATAGCTTGATATCACTGAGACTCTTAACAAGTCTCCCTGCAGCACCAGGGAAACCCTTAGAAACACTTTTTAAAAATACAGATGAAGATTGTAAAACTATGTACGTGAGATACCACTTCTGGTAGAAAATGCTTACACAAATATATGGAAGGTTACAAATGAAAATGTTTAGAGCAGCTGTCTGAAGATGATAGGCTATTGAGTAAGTATTCGTTTTACTAATCTCTTTCTAGTATTTCTGTGAGGAAAGCATAGTACTCTTAAAGACATTAGGAACAATCACAAAAAGAAGACTTCATTGTTGAAATCTTGAAACACTGGTTCAGCTCTAAAGTGGTCCAACCACTGTCCTCTAGCTACAGGATTTTCCACTGCTTTGAATTTCAAAGCCATCAATTCTACTTTTACTTCAGAATATTCTGACCCACTTGTGGTGCCACGTGTCAGTATCTCCTTCAGGGCCTAGGATGCAAACACATAATGTCCCCTTTGATAATGGGGGAGGGTCATGTCAAGTTCAAAATCTAACAGACCCTGTTTTTGAAGAATAGGGCTCCCTATCTTTCACAACTTCTGGGAAGACATGAACTTGTTAAAAACCTCAGTCTGGATCAGCTGAAGATCTGTGAGTTTTAGGTGATCCACAGCTTTATTCAACAAAGAGTCTTGCTGAGGCAAAAAAAGCCCTTAACATTTTATGGTGCTGTGGTCATCCCGGGTGGAGCCTTCATGGTTTCTTTGGGTTTCACAGGAAAGACTGCCTAGCACCAAATCCTCTCTGCCACCACTGTCCTTAGCCCTTGTGACTCCGAGCTCAGCTGCTTTCTCCTGTCTCTGCCTGCCGTGTGGCCTTCTGACCAGACAGCCATGGCGGCTGCTCCCTCAGTCTCGGGGCTCTCCCTGCATCAGTTCCAGAGCCTCTGACTTTGGTTGTCACCTAGTACTGAATAACCTTGAGGGGATGTGGAGCCCTAACCCACATTTTCCTTTAGCTTGTAGTTGGACCTGGTGCATCAACAGTGCATTTCCAAGCATGACAAAGCCTGGAATATAATTGTGGTTAGAGGAACTGTTTGTATCAGATAGCAATCCTGCCTGGAATCTTAACTCTGGCTCTTGAGTAAATTTTCTGGGTCTTTATTTTTCTAGCTCTGAAATAAGGATAAAGACCCAGTTCAAGGGTTGCAGTAAGGACTAAAGCAAAGCATTGCACAGACCTTACTCTTAATACCAACCTGGAACAGCGATCTGGGTTAAGTATTCAGTCCCCCTTTAGACTTCATTTAACCTAGAACCATATTTGGAAAGAGGGTCATTGCAATATAGTTAAAAAGAGGTTTTCTTGGGAGAGGTACATCCTAATCTACTGGCTGGTGTCTTTGTAAGATGAGGGATACAAATCTGCAGAGCTGAAGCCATGTGAAGATGAAGGCAGAGGTTGGGACAATGTACCTCCAAGCCCCTCTGCAGCATGC